TTGTTGACGACAACTCCATTTGCCAACATGGTGCCCAGCATGCTCCCTAGTGAATAGCCTACTTTAGTATTGTAAGATTAGTGACGTTGTAATAATGTAATTTATATACATTATAATGTAAATCCGTTATAACAGTTATATGTTATGAATGGATAGCATATTCTCCCATGACAGTCCAATCAGTAATCAGCTATAATCGGGGATATAACGTATGTAATTAACATCGTAATACATATCTATTCTTAATACTAATCCATAGATCTATAGAAATCTCTATCGAAATAATAGCTTAACCTTTTCTTACAATATTCAGACAAAAAAAATCACGTGGTTCTCAAAATTTAAATATTTTTTTTATAATTTTCTAAGTAAATAAATAACTCTAATTTTTTAATTTTAACAAAATATATTTTTTTTTGAAATCTTTAAAATAAATTAACTCGGTTATTTTGGATTTATTTGAAAAACTATTATTTATTAAAAATTTAAGTGCAATTTTATCTACTACTTTTGATAGATATAAGGCAATTTTAACAGTTGCTAAAAAACACATATTTTGTTTAAAAATAAAAAAGAGAGTTTCAGACTCGCCCTGTTTAGCAGCCTTCACGCAAGACCTCGGGCAACGTGTGTCCCACTTTTTGTCTTTTAAAGTGTTTGAATCGGAAAGTTTCCAGCTGGAACCGTTGTAATTCGCAGCAGCACCGTCGCTTCTCTGAAACTGACAGTTTGACTGATGACCCGCGGGGCCAAACACGGATTTCCTTTGACTCGCATTTTAATACGAAATACCTGCTTCTCCGTAGCTGTCGCTACTCTTTAGGGCTTTAGGGCCTCCAGGTCGCTTCTAGTGAAAGAAAAAAAAAAGAGGTAGAAAAAATATCGACCGGTGGTTTCAGCTTCAGACTTCATAAGTTGTAAAGTACGTCTGCTGTATCTGTGTCTATGAAAGGAATTTCAAGAATGACAGAATATTGGAGCATGATTTTATTAATCTATACTAATATATAAAATCCATAAGTGACTGACTCACTGATTAATCACGATCCTGCTTAAACCACTCAACGTAAGAAGTTCAATTTTGGCATACAGGTTGATTCTAGGGTGTAGAGGTTCGATAAGAAGGGATTTTTCGAAATTCCAGTTCCAAGAGGGTGAAACCACCCCTCAAATATTACAATATTTTTTATTTAAAAAACGGTCAAGTTTCCGAAAAAACGTATATTTTATTTTGTTTTTTTACATATTTTAAGATATTTTACAAATATATACCGAGTGGTTCGAAAAATCTGGTCATTGATTAATCACGATCCTGCTTAAAGCACTTGACGTAAAAAGCTGATTTTTATAAAACGGATTGACTTTAGGGTGTAGAGGTTCGATAAGAAGGGATTTTTCGAAACTCGAATTTTAAGGGGGTGAAACCACCCCTCAAATATTAGAATATTTTTTATTTAAAATCCGGTGAGTTTTTCGGAAAAATTCTTAAACACGTATATTTTATTTTGTTGTTTCACATATTTTAAGATTTTTAAAACTTTATACAGGGTGTTTTATAAAATATGACCAATGAGTAATCACGATTCTGCTTAAACTGCTTGACGTTTAAAGCTGATTTTTGGGAAACGGATTGACTATATGGGGTGTAGAGGTTCAGTAAGGACGGGTTTCTCGAATCTCAAATTCCAAGAGGGTGAAAACGCCCCTCAAACATTACAATATTTGTTATTTAAAAAACGGTTAGTCTTTCGGGAAAACGCTTGGAAACGCATAATTTATTTTGTTTTTTTACATATTTTGAAATTTTTTAAAAAAATCATACAGGGTGTTCCAAAAAGTTGGGTAATTGATTAACCACGATTCTGCTTAAATTGCTTGACGTAAAAAGCTTATTTTTGGCAAACGGATTTTTCGAAACGAAAATTTTATCCAGTGTGTATGTTAATGGAAATTCTTGCTTTGTTTTATCATTACCATTACAAATGATTAATTCGAGGCGAACGAAGTCGCGGGTACACGCTAGTTTTAATAAATGTATATAGTTTTTTAATTAAATTTTGCTGTTTTAATTTGAGATCATTTGATACAGAACATCTTTAGTCGGTGGTAATTTTCTTAATTTTTTAAATATCTCATTAACTTGGCTTAAATTAAGTGGTGCCCAACAAACTGCAAAAACAATTAATTGAACCTATACCTATTGTTCGCCAGACGAAGAGCAGCCGTACGGTGCGGTTTTCTTGTTATCTCTGTATATTATTACATTTTTAGTTTCTACGATTAAAATAAAGGTAAATTTGATTAAGGTTTATTATACTTACCGTTTTTGAAATATTTTCAATTTTGTGAAATTGCAGTAAAAAGTTTAAGGCTTCATTTCTCCAAGGGTATCAAAGTTTTTAATACTAAATATTTACTGAAGTTTATTTATTGATCAGTTATTTTGTTGCAATAATAAAAATAATACTACCTTATACAGAGTGCCTAAAAAATTATTTTAAATAATTATTAGCTTCAAACGGCAATAACTTGTTTAATTTAAACGGAATACTTTGTATATTTTATGAGAATCAGATGCACAATTTAATTGTCTATCAAATTATATTATACTATTTTTTACCTATCTCTTTAAGTTTCCGTAGAAAATGCATTTTTTAGAACTTATTTATCAACATACCCATGGAATATTGACATTTTAGATTATTTTTAAAGATGTACCAAATTTTTAAAGAGTACAGATACTAATATTGTCGATATAATTTGTTTATTTTATTAAAAAATAAAAAAAACTGTTTAAATATTTGTTAAAGGGGACCAATTAATATGATTCTAGTATTCAAACTACATTAACTGACTGTTTGCGTTGATTAATGATAATTGCTCCAAATACTAAAAAACTGAATTTTGTATGGGTATTAGACAGTGTGATAAAAAGAAACACCTTAAAAATGATATTTCAATTTTTAACAAATCCTTATTTATAACAACAGAGACTTTAATTTTGATAACTTATTATTATATTGCTTTCTGACTCAAATCCACATTTATTTAGAATAATTTAATAACGAACACAATTAAGTATGTAATTAATTAGTATATGGGCGGAAATAATGGTGTTATATTTAATTAATGGTATACTCTTTTATAAAGATTTAAATAGTTTTCTTTTTGCATACAAATGGGCTAGTAATATTATCGTTTTGCTAAAAACGATAATATTACTAGTCTGTACATTTTGTACATTTGTTGCTTTAAAAACAATCTAAAATGTCAATATTCCATGGGTATATTGATAAATAGGGTCTAAATTATAAGAAAATGCATTTTCTACGAAAACTTGAAGGGATAGGTAAAAAATGGTATAATACAATGTGATAGACAATTAAATTGTGCATCTGATTCTCCTAAAGTATACAGAGCGTTCTATTTAAATTAAAGAAGTTATTGGCGTTTAAAGCTAGAAATTATTTAAAATAAATTTTTAGACACTCTGTATAAGGTAGTATTATTTTTATTATTGCAACACAATAACTAATCAATAAATAAACTTCAGTAAATATTTAGTATTAAAAACTTTGATACCCTTGGAGAAATGAAGCCTTGAAATTTTTACTGCAGTTTCCCAAAATTGAAAATATTTCAAAAACGGTAAGGTTTAAGTATAATAAAAATTAATCAAATTTACATTTATTTTAATCGTAGAAACTAAAAATGTAATAATATACAAGGTGTTCCGTTTAAAAAAATACAACTTTGATATTTTTTACTTATTTGGGACACTTTGTATCTTGTAAAATTATTTTTAAATTGTACCTCTAATAGTCCTTCATCGAACCCAAAACTTGAAATTTGTAAAAATCTAATCGTTTAGCTACAATACTCCGTGTAGCCGAAATAGCCGAAATGGTCTTTATCATCTTTCGTTTATTTGATTACGAATCGTCGAAAAAACCACCACGGCTGTATGTTGAAAGAGAAAATGGCGAATCGAAACCAGAAATAAAAGAAAAACACGGAACAGCGAGGAACGGAAAGGCATTCCTGTTTTTTTTCCCTGTTTTTCGGTGGTGGTTTTTATCGAATCCTCGAGCATCAATTCTCGACGACGATTGATCTTTTCTCTGCTTTTGACTTCGAGATTAATAAGATCTTTTATAACGCACGACGAGTTCTGGGTTTGGAGAGGTTTTCTATTAGGTCGTGGAATATTTGCTTTTTTGCGTAGTTATAAATTTTAGTATACGGCTACAGAGAACAAGATTAGCGCGACATAAACCCGTTTAGTGTTTAAAGCTATCTATGCTATTTTAGCTTTTAAAGTTTTATAGCGATTTGTGTCAACAAAAAAAGCGGCAAAATTCTTCTATTAAAATATCGATAAGTAAGGTAAGAAAGGTTGTTGGTTGCTGTGATTATATTTTATTTTTATCATACTGAAATACACCACTCAAAACAATTAACGCATATTTGGAATAAAAATAATTATTACACATTTCTAAATGAAGCATGCATTTTTCTGCCTTTTCCTTGTGAGTTTTTTTAAAAATAATTAGGGTACGCCCTGACATGTAATTTTTAGTCGGCCGACTATTTTGTTGCGAAACTGAAAACAATACATTCTTCTGGAGCCTGTTACGGTTTAAAATTTCACCGTAACTTATTTTACTTATTTTGCTTATTTTTAAGAATAAAACTAAAACTTACTTGAATAACTTGAATAATAACGTTTAATTAGCTTACTTCTTAACTGTACATATAACTTCTAATAATATCTTAGCTATTAAGTCTCTTCACCACAACAATTTCTTGGGATGGAGTTTTCTCCGATAACTGTAATATAAAATCTCATTAATAAAATGTCTATTTGTCTGTTTAAAACCTACCTTTCTTTCTACAGTGGTTACTAATTCTTTATTTAGACTTATGCTTGTGTTAGGATATTTTCTTGGCATATTTCTTCGGAGGATTCTTGAACATAGACTTGATGTGATTATCTTTTTTCTGTTTTCAACGCAACAAGTGGGAATGTTGGGTCTACAATACACATATGGGTTAAGGATTTTATTATGCATTTTTCCTGTGTGTAATCAATTGATTTTACCTGATTATAGTTGATTTTTCCCTAAATTTCATCTTGTTTATATTACGATTTACAGACTGACGTTTCAATTGTTTGTCAGCTGATCGTGTGACACCGGCGTTGAAGTTTGACAGATGGATCTTTGTAAATTAGGTTTTCGATCTTTTTAAACGGTTTTACATATGATCGGAAAATGTATTAATAATTTTCCGAAGATATTATGTTCATATAGGGATTATTATAATTTTATTATGATGTAATAAAATGTTTCACTCAATCCGTATGCATTAAATAAAATTTTACATCGAATTTTATTTTGGGTCTTTTGTTTTACTGGTTGCCAGTGTTGGATTTTGGGTTGGTATCTTGGAGTCCTGCGTCTTTTGCAAACACGCGTCCTTTTTCGACTTTGAACCATCTTGGTGAAAGCAGAGGAAGCCTTCGAAAAAAATACCTTTTCAGTGAAAAAAGCCTGATTTTCGCAGGAAAAATTTTGAATTTTATTGAATTTGGGCCTGCGTTTGCAAATACTGGTTTGTTTTTTAATTTTCTATCTATGTAAATTTTAAATATCATAGTCAGAAATAGTTTTATTATTTATTAACTGTAAAAATGGTGTTTTCTTGTTGTGTTGCATCTTGCAAAGAAACTAACAAAACTGGAAAAATGTACGTGTTTCCAAAAGACGATAAGGTATGTATCTTAGATAAAAAAAAATATATGGTATGTATTCGTTGTTTGATTTTTTTTCGTTCGCTTTAAAATCTATAAATCTCGGTCTATTCATTAGATAGCCAGTCGACTTACGATCATTTACATGAAACTCTGTAGAATAAATAAAAAAATAAATTGTAAAATATATATATTCTTATGTTTTATTAAAGTTACTCTGATATACTAATATATCAGTGTAACTTTAAAAATAAATCCTTTGAATTCAAATATAAACATAAAAAACATTTACAGCAGAAAAGGCGAAGGCGCTGGGTTAAACCCTTAAGGGTTAAACGTAGTCTCCACTAAAAACACGGAGGGGCGCTTTGACCCAAAATTTTACTATTAAGTTTCATATCTATCTTAATAGTAGATTATTTTCTTTTATCTATGGACATATCGTATGTTAACTTTTGGCATTTTCGCATATGGTTTAATTAAAATTTTAACTTGCGGTTCATAATGACAATTTGAGTATGTGGTATCAAATTATCGGTAAAAAAATGCTTTTCCCAATATGCTAATAAGCCTAAAAATACGATTTGGGCAACTTTAAACCGGCCAGGACAGGATACGAAAACAAGTTAATATTTTGAACAAAAGCATGCAATAATGCCGATATATTGTCTGCATCATATACATAATATATTATAAGATCTAAGATATATTTTATATTATATTTTGTTTTCTTATTTTTTTCTGTAGATATTATATTTTATGATATAGTGTCATTAAAACATCTGTTCATGTAGATAATTCCTAAATGATTATTTTTTGACTTTCGGTAACTGTATAAAAATTACACTAAAGTTGATAGAAAAACAAAATTACTTAAAGAAGATAAGTTTTTTAGTTTTTTTTATCTCTTCCTATAGCAGAAAATAAAGGAAATAATATATTTGAGGTGTGAGAAACAGTCAAGGGTCCAAACGGTTTCCAAAACATACGACCTAAACTTCCCACAGCGACCTTTTTATATTTGTCCTTGTTGATTCCCAACCCAATGTTATCTATTTCTCTTTTTTTTCTTCGTATTTTTATTGCGATAATTTTTTACTTTGTTAGTTTTGTCGATCCCTTCTCACCTATAACCTTTTTGTCCCATCGATTTGTCTTTCTATACTCATAGAGACTTTTATCTGTTTAGGTCAAACGTTAAACTTTTAGGGCTTAAGTTTCTTCTTTTTGGATAAATATATTATCGGTTTAGTGGATGTGAATAAAACTTTTAAGAAATTAAAATTTTTGAAATGTAATGTTGCTAGGACGATCGAGAACCTTTCTACCCGAAGGTGTAAGGTATACTAAATTAAATAAATTGACTTAATTGCTACACTATACACAAATTGTTTACATTTATTTTTGTCTCTTTTGGCTTCTGTTAATGTTACTCTTCTATCCTGCACTATCTTCTCTATTGTGACATTCGATGTTTTAGTTGGTCTTCCCCTTGGTCTGTTTCCCTGCATTCTAGCTTCCCACACACCTGTTACTGTTAGGTACCACCTAAGCTGACATTGCTCAATTTTATTCAGAATCAAATCTACTTTTAGTTCTTCTCTTATAAAGTTGTTCCTTAGTCTATCTTTCCTTATTACCCTAAGTACTCTTCGTAGATATAACATCTCCATTCTTTGGATCTTACTCTTCAATCTTTTAGTTAATACCCCAACTTTCACAACCAAAAATCAACGTCGCGTCGGTATGAATACTGTCTTGTATACACTCATCTTCACAGCTCTCGAGATTTCTTTTTTATTTAAGAAACTGTTCTTAATGGCTTGGTACAAGCGGGACGTGTTTTCAATTCTTTCGATGATTTCCGTCTCGTGTTCCCCTGCTCCTCAATAAATATCTCAGTAAATTCAAGCTAATGTCCTATTAAAGCTGAGCTATATCCTATTAAAACTGCTGGTAGAACCGCAATACACCGGGAAAACAATAAGCATATTTTGTAGAAGCCACAATAGGCCCACACGGCCGCAGTGGAGGGTCCCACTGGGACTCACTCTTAGTCAATACGAATACAATAACATTGGAATAAAAAAGTCTTACTTTACTTTACTATTAGGCAGTGGCAACTAATTATAAATATTTTATAAAAAAACTATGCAAAACTGCAAGAAATTTTTATCAAAAGAAATAATTTTACTCATCGGTAACATCTCTTAAAATTATTTTTTTGAGATTTGATTAAACCGTTTTAATAAAAATTCTAAAAAGACCAATTCGAGAGAAAACAGTTTTTAAACGATTTGTTAGTGCATAATTTCTATGTACCTGAGACACGTTTTCTTATAAATTGCGTTTACCATTAGATTAGATTCTTAGAGGTGGCTTTCGGCCTGATCCACTGCGACCTTCTCAGATCTATTGTGGTCCTCTTCTGATCCTTAGATTACATTCTCCAGTCCTATCCTTTTTACAAAGTTTAGCAACTTAGCTCCTTGGCAATGGCCTATCATTGCCTATTACCGGGAACCGCACATTTGCCAGGCTGTCACACCGACATAAAATGTGTTCTGACGTTTCTTCTTCAGATTGGCAGAACCTACACATAGCTTCGTCTGTCAATCCCATCAGCTTTAGATGCCTGTTTAGCTTACAATGCCCTGTTAGTAGACCTACTACAGCTTTGACTGTCTTTCTGTCCTTGCTTATCAAGTCTACCGTGAATTTTGGCCAATGTTCTACAATGAACCTTTTCGCCTGTCTCGGCCCTGGTGAGTTTCTCAACCATTCTAGAGATTTGTTGGCCAGCCCATCGTTCCGTGGCCATTCTCGTGACCGTGCGTTTACCATAGAATTCAATACATTGAACCCAAAAAGCCATCTTATTTGTCAAAAATCATCTCTTAGAATTCAATTTCCTGTGAGCTAATTAAACCGTTCTTAATCAATAAATATTTTTGAATTACCTTGCTCTCTCTACTGAAACTTGTTCTAATTCTACCGCAGCCCGAAAGGAACAATTCGGAAACAAGCGATTATAAGAAAAACAATTTACCGCGATTACTGTTTCAGGGGTTCGGAATCCGCGCCGAGTTTAAGGAGTTGAGAAACTTTAAATCCCGGTACTGCAATACGGCGAAATAAGACCGATAGAAACTAGCAGAAAGTAGTAGAATTAAATTGTTCGGAAAGAAGAACACGGTGAAAATTATTTCAGTTCTTATCGAAGGCTTTTTCAAGATTTTGTTCGAAATTTTCAACCTGTTTTTAACTGTACTATAGAAAAAAACACAGTGTGTGCACTATGTGCGCATATTTGGAGTGAAACTTCTTACTAACAGCTATTAGTCTGAAGGATTTGAAGGACATGTTTGAAAAAGTGACATAATATAATGCTGTTTTAATATAAATATTATTTTCAAGGTATCTGTACCGGGTGGCCAACTAAGAATGGACGCCGGCTGTATCTCGGAAACTACTTATCGTATAACTTTGGGGAAAAAATTCTAATAAGTAAATCGACCAAGAGAAATCGCTGGAAATTATTTTCAAGTTCAAAAAATATCCGCTAGAGGGCGTTTCTCTGATAGCCAATCAGAAAACAGAGTTTTTCTCATAATGCAGGTAATGTTTTTCTCAAATATGCAGGTAAAAGGTATTTTAAATATTACTATTATAATCGCCAAGAAATGTGTAATTTTTTTGATATAGAGTATTTTGCTCTATCTCATAAAGTAAAGTGGTGGGAGAAGGTTAAACTTGATTTTATTAAAATAAGGATAACTCTGGTTTAGGTTAGCCGATTTAAACAAACCAAGGATCGTTTAAAAGAGCTTGCCTTCCTTAATCATCTTCAGTATAAATTTTGTTTCCATAATTTTTTTCGTGGTAGCTAGAGTGCGCCGGTTGACACCATAACAGATATTGCGCTTTTGCAGAAAAAAATTAAATAGGAGGCTATATTTCTCTTTACATAGTTAAATAGAGCATAAAATTTCCAAAAAATCAGCACAAACCGCAACTTTCTATCTTCTCTCTAACCGGAGATATTAAGAGAACAAATCATCTTAGGCTGCCGTTTAGGATTATATCGACGGCGTCACGACAAAAGGGCGTAAGCGCCATTCGTCATTTTTTTCAGGAGACGAAAAAAACGTCTAAAATCTATATTTTTTATTTTTTGTGAATTATTTTTTGCTACAGTATTATAGATTATATGGCACATTTTTCAAGAATTTTTTGCTTATAAAATATTAAACTGTTAATTAGTTATTTTAATATTTGGCGCTTACGCCTTTCTTTCTAGGCTCGATTGGCGTTTACGTCTTTTTGAAAGGCGTTTAATACTTTTGTGTCTTATTATTCTAGTCATTTTTTGTCGTTTAGGTGCACTTACGCCTTTTTGAGTTTTACAAATAAAATTAAAAATGTCGCTTGGATTTTTTAAATTTTTAAGAAAACACAGTACAAAATACTCAAACTGATACTTTCAAT